GCTCTAAACCACCTGGTAGAGACTGCTGCGCCTCAGCAAGTATTGCCCCACGCTGTGCTGGTGTGAGTGGCAGTGGGAGGAAAGGGGAACTCTTCATTTTGGCAGAGACAGCAGCTTGCCTGCCACAGCATCTGGGTGACCTGTGACACAAAAATCAGACAGTGCAGTGCAGAAGCATTTACAGAGCACAAGATAATTTATAGCCATGGTGGATTTTGGTACTTACTTGCAAAAGGTGGTAAACAGCCCACTTTTTCCTTCCCTTTCTCCTTTCTTTCCCTTTTCTCAATTCTCCTCCCCTCTCATCCCCAAACTCTCAGCCCTCACTAGCAAAATTAATTATTGCAAACACACAGAATCATGCATATCCTCCTGCTGCTCTTCAAAGAGCAGTTTGCTGCCTGGCTGGAGCACTAACATCACTGCTAACCCCCAGCCATCACCACACTGTGGCGTCCTTCCCTTTCTCCTTTCTTTCCCTTTTCTCAATTCTCCTCCCCTCTCATCCCCAAACTCTCAGCCCTCACTAGCAAAATTAATTATTGCAAACACACAGAATCATGCATATCCTCCTGCTGCTCTTCAAAGAGCAGTTTGCTGCCTGGCTGGAGCACTAACATCACTGCTAACCCCCAGCCATCACCACACTGTGGCGAAGCAGCCGAGGCCGGGTCCTCTCCCAAGCAGGGACAGGACATCAATCGCACCCCTACCCAGCAACATGTGAGGACTGGCCATGGGATGGAGCAGAAAGCCTTCAGGCCTTGCACACTTGCTCCACACAGCACAGTGTGAGGCAGTGAGCATGAAGCGGTGGCAGCAGCTTGCCCCCAGAGACATCAGCTGCTGGCACCTCATTGCCCAGGCCGCTTTCCGCTGGGGAGCTTTGTAGGTCCTGACCCCCAGCACTGCTGCAGCTTCACCCAAGGTGTGAAGCTGCAGAAGTGTATGGCCCAGGAACCCAAAGTAGAGACACCAAAATTCCCCCTCCAAGTACAGGGCATGACCCCAGTTCACATCCCCCCTTATCACAGGGCTCCTTCTTGCTCTGCCATTTGAAAGCTGCAACACAGACTTGTCACCATCACCCAGGACAAATACATCGCTGGGGTGAGATGGGATGGTCAGAGCTCAGGCTGCAAGGGCAGGAGCCAGCCCCAGCCTCTTGCTTCTACGGAGGAGCTGAGGAGGAAGTAATGTCTGTCCCCCCTTTCTAGCCACCCTGTTGTCAGGGGTGCACTGCCCACAGAGAGCTGCACCCTTCCAGACACCCCTCCCTCTGCTACCACCTGAATGCCAGGTGTGTTGGCACAGCCAGGTGTGATGGTTCCTTGCATGCTCCAGGACCCAGCACCCTGCCCACACCCCACTGGACTTGGACTACAAGGGAGGAGAATGGCGCCAGGGGCACACAGAGATACACAGCGGTGGGGGGAGGAAGAGCCTTGCCAAGTGATGCATTCAAAGACAGCCCCAGTGACGCAGGAGGAGTCATTTGTGAGGGGAATGACTTCAGCACTGGCCAGGCTGCGGCTGCCTGCCGGTCACAGGTCATTTGCTGTGGAAGGAGGGAGTGATTCACTTGGAGAGAGGCTACGCAACAACTGCACCAGGTTCGTAGGCCCCTGCAAGATGCTGGCACACCACGCAGCCTTCATCTGCACATCTACGTGCCGCCCACTTGCCAGCATTAAAGTTCACTGGATATGCTAGGTAATAGCTGTGGTGTTTAGCCTGGCCTAATGCTCTCTCTGGCTTTTTCTTGAGCTGGATATGAAAAAGCACCATTCGCTTCATACCCTAAATTCTTGCAGTTTTGCCTGGCAACATCATTTGCACTGACTGCCCCATTTTCCACCCCCAGCCAACCTAATGATGGTACACTTAAGCACTACATGAAATGACTGCTGGCTCACCAAGAGAGCCCCAGAGCCTTCAGGATGGGAGGCTACTATGTACTATTTCATATTACAGGGGCTGAAAGTTGCCAGTCTGTTTTGCAACTCCCACTCCAGCTCTTATCCTAGATTTATCAGTCCAAAGAAAGAGTCGGTGGACTCAGGAGTTTGCTGCAAGGCCAATGTTTAGTGCCTCCAGCAAATTTCAGCTGGCTCGCAGCTGAAGCCAGGCAGCCAGCAGCCAGCATGCTGCCGAGGCTACGTTTGCTGGGGGTGAAAACACCAATAAATGCAGGTTGGAAGGAGAGGTCAAGTGCACAAAGCTGATCTAGGTTATCCATGTTTGACAACCACAAATTGGGATGAGAAAGTGTCTTTTCAAACACTTTTAACAAATTCACCTTTGAAAGCTTTCAGCAAAAATACAAGGCAGGAATGTTAAAGGGTCACAATCCATGTGTTTGCTTGTTCTTTCCTCAGGCAAACCCTCATTGATTGACTGTGGGAAGGGTGAGAGCTGAGCACAACTGACGGAAGAGTCTCACTGCTAACACTGAGGCACCCAGCCTCCCGGCGGTGACTAATGACAATGGACAAAGCTCATCCAAATACACCCTGCTCTGCCTGCTGCATGCTGCCAAAACTGACAGTCTGAGAGGCTGCTGGTTCTCCATCACTTTCAGAGCCAGAATCTTCCTCAGGCAGCGGAGCTAGCAGTCACATGGTGGGATATTGGAGGGCTAAAAGGACAGGCGTGGCCAAGAGCAGGCCAGGGCCTTGGTGGTCAATGCAAATACCTGCCGCGGGGAGCCTCTCCACAACACAGAATCCTCTGGAAATGAGGGATATGACCAGGGTCTCACTGTGGGATGAGCTTTCACACATGGATGTCAGTGGGACCCAGACAGCGCTCTTGTTGGTATATCCAGATGCGGACAGGCAAAGGCATTTGCAGGGGCAGCTACAAGATAAGGATGTGCAGTCAGTGACCATTGCTAGAGTGTCTCCTGGACTTCACTGGTTGCACCAGGCCCATTTTGTGAGCAGAGCTCTACTTATGACGGGGACAAGACAGGCCCACTGTCACCGGCCAGCCTATAAGCTCTAAGTGCCTAAGGAAGGTGCTGATTCAGCCAGACTACTCACATGAGCACAGATTACTCACATACAGACTGCAGGACCAATACTCTAGAGTCTGTATGACTCCTTGTTGACTCAGGAGTCTCATCACTGCAATCATCACCACTCCATTCCCTGACGCCATCACACAACCCCAAAGTCAGGGCAATCTCTGACTGGTTATTGCACAGGTTGGGGACAAGCTTTGGAAGGACATTCAGTCTTCCTGGGGTTTTTCTTTCTGGGGTTTTTTCTTCTTAGTGAAGATGGGAGAGCCCACCACTCCTGCTGCCCACAGCTCAGGAATGGCTAAGAGAGCTAACATCAAGGCCAGGTGACTAACTGCACAGGAGACCAAAACCCCACATTCGGTAAATCCCCATCCACAACTCTGCCAATCACACACCACTTCTTGACAGTCCTGAGCCAGCCAGCTGTGCCTATGCAAGTGTCCAGTCACTGTCATAAGCCACACATCCACGGTCACTAACTCATCACGCCCAAGCACACCTGCAGTCAGGTACCTCTTCTGGATTACACCCCCCTCTCTCCCACACAGCCAGGAAGAGAATCGGTTCCTCAGAAACTAACACACGCACTCACCCACACTTTACCCCCTACTTCCCTTCCTATGCAAACAGACTCACTGCAAGGTGGGGTCTCGCACCCATACAAGTTGGGAAACTGCATGCAAACTGGGAGAGTGCAGCTGGGACATCTCCCAGGATCCTAAATACAGCTCACATAAAGGAGGCCTCTGGGTGAGACTTCCTGGTAGCTGTCCCATTGCTGTAGAGTCAAAGCCATCAGACCTGTCTCTTGCACCACTGAGCAAGTGGCAGGTTTTCATCTGAGGCAGGAACAGTGAAACGTCACAAGCAGTGACAAAGCAAAATGCTCAGTGCTCGGCACGGGATGATGTCTCACAGATGTGCTGGCAGGGTGCTCCCACAGATGGGGAGGAGGCAGGCTCAGCGTGGGCCTGGGTAGCAAGGAGTGCTGCGTCCTCTCAGCAGAACGACGCCTGATCCTCCACCCCATCCCAAAGCACACCTGATGCAGTACCAGAGGACCCACATGTAGAACAAACCTTCTAGGAAGACGAAAGCCCAAGAGGCCATTTCATTTGGCTTGTACCAAACGAACAGCACTGCCTGGCATCACTCGGTGGAGACAAGGAAACGGGACTGATGTCAGAGGCCCAGACCTCACCCTGAGTGCACATCCAGGCATTCCTCCCCAAAAGGTCTTTGATACAACACATTTATTTTGCTGTTTCGCAGTACAGTACAGTACATATATGCTACCAACTGTTTCAGAGCCCTGAGCCATCACTCCTCCTGCCTTCCCTCAATTTTGGAAAAGAGGCAGGACCACTGTCCCCTTCTCCCATTTCACCCGCAAGGAAACAGGCCAGGAAAAGTCCAAAATCACAGCGGCATTTGCTGACAGAACTGGAGACGAATCTCTGAAAGTCAGAGTCCCAGCCCCTTGTTCTCATGCTGGGAGAGGAGGCCCTAGTGCCAGCTCTCCACAAGGCCTTGCTCTTCTAAGAAACTCTCTGCACACCTCAATAGAAATCAGACTAAGGAGATTGCAAAAGCTAATATAAACCCTGTTGGATTTTAAAGGGACTCACTACCTCTCTGTCAGGGTCTGAGAAATATTTTGGGGCATTCTAGGCAGGGTTAGAATTCTCTTAAATCCTTTATGATTGTTTAAAAAAAGAGCCAAGGAGAGGCTTTTCCTTCCAGTGCAGTCCCACTGGAATCTGAGTGGAATTTCCCCTGCTCAGGTCATAGAATCATAGAATGCAATGCAGGATGCCCTTCCTGACACAGGGTATCTCACACCTCCTTTTCCTAAAGCATGAAACAGCAGAGCTCCAGTACTGACTCCACCTCTCAGCGCCACAGAAAAAGCTAATGCTGTAACAGGCAAGGACAGTGCGGTGTGTAATGTGGTGCAAGACCCAAAAATAGCCCACAGAATAGACAGAAGCAGTCAGCAAGGCAAATGTGCCGTAGAGAGCAGAAGGGAGGGCAGGAGCACCCGTGCCTCTCCCACCAGTTCGTGTCAGTACGTGGAATGGTGCATCCAGCTCAGGAGAGCAATGACCCAGTTCCCCAGCTGGGACCCCTTCAGCCACAGGAAGAGTTCATACAAGTTGATCTGCCACAGGCTCAGGGCTTCTGTGAATGAGATCTGGGCTCTCCTGTAAAGCGAGTGACTCTTGCTCCTCTGGTACCTAAAAGGAGAGAAATAGCTGCATTAGATATAGCAGGATGCAGCCCGGCGGGAAGGAGGCCTGTCCTACATCTTCGGTACAACTGACCCTCCCCACGGGAGGGGAACATCCCACATCTGGAGAATCACCAAAGGTGGGAGCCCCTGGGAGTAGGCATTTCCTCCAAATAATGTTCCTGAGGAGCTGGGGACGGCTTTCGTAGCACAAATCCTGCAGAAGAGACACTCTGCTCCCTTATGAGCCTGGCTCTCTCCCCACTGCATGTACTGACCCAGGGCCATGGCATTCTCTGCTTCTATGCTCACCTTCACCTCAGCTAGCAGGCACAGGTGCACACTCCCACAGCAGCCTTTCCTGGTCGCACTCAGAAGAGTCCTACAATCCTGACACACTAATTCCAGGAAAAGTAATTCTCCATCTTTCTTTAGAAGCAGATGTTAACTGGGCTTCATAGGTCCCTCATCAGCCAAAGAAATAACTGTTATTTAGCCTGCAAGAAGGAGGAATCCAACGCACAAGTGCATTGACTCATAAGACTCACAGATGGAAATCACTTGCACGACTCCCGTTTCTGGCTTCTACGCATCAGCCTGATCTTCACGATCAGCCCTGGCCCCTCAGTCAGGCTGCACAAACTGGCAGCAGTAAATAAGCAGATCTTTACTGCCTACAAATACTTTCCAGTGCTGATGCCTGTAGTGGGCAGCAAGCCCCTTCCCCTCCTCTGGGGGGACAAACCCTAAACTCGTACCTTGAGGCCTCCAACTCCATCCCTGTCCCCAGCCCCAGGGTGAAAGACCTGTCCTCTAGAGAGGCTGACAGGTGTGAGAACAGCACAGACAGAGGCTGACACACGTAACTAAGCAGTGGTAGGACCACAGCAGATGTGCTAACGAGGAGGAGAGGTCCACAGCTACGAGTAAGAAGTCAAGCCATCAAGTTAGGCTTTGTCAGGGCCCCGAGTAGAGGGCTTTAATAAGCCTTAATGGCCCTGACTAGCCTGGGACCTCCACCAAACCTCTGCTCATAGGCCCAGGGACCTCCAGTTAATCTCAGGCCCACACGTTCAGTCCCTGTCTGGAATATACAGGAGGAGTAATGGTCCCCAGATCATGTCCTGCTGTAAAGGCCCTTGACCTGGACCTCAACCCGCTTACTGACCTCTTGGTTTGACCTCAGACTTGTCTTGTCACCACGAACCTTCCTGACAACCTGATCTACAAATTGACTCTCTGGTTTGACCTTGGACCTGACCTGTCACTTTGATATTACATTATGATAAAGACTTTTGATTGAACCTGACCACTATCTCGGAGTCTGTCCTGCTCTCCTTCCTCAGATACTGTGGAATTGTGCCCCGGCTTCTGGCCCCCAGGGACAGCCACGCCCTGCTGTTCCATATCTGGCCTCTGGTGCCTGGAGAAGAGACTCACGTGGAAACGGCTCTGATGCAGCAGCGAGACATGTTGAGGAAGGAGCTGGCACTGGCTCGCGTGTGCAGGGCTGACTCAATCCCTCTTAACAAGTCATTGGTCTTCAGCAGCAGCAGCATCTGGCGGGGAACATTGTTGAGGAGCTGGGTGATCTGGGGTAGGTAAGCAGCAGCGTTGGACCGTATCTCCACGTCCTGTGGCCAGCCAGGTCATGCCAAGGAGAAAAGAGAGAGAAGCTGAGAGTGCATGGGAAACCCAGGTCCCACCTCAGCAGCCCCACAGCTGACAGAGCTGCAAGTAGCACAGGACTGCTCAGAAGGTGGAGACGTGCTGCAAGGACAACAGGCTGCTCCTTGACTTGCTGTCCCACGCAACTGGTGGCTTTATGCTGTACTGATGAAGCTGTTTCCAAGGCCTAGTTTAGTCCTCTGTCCTCAACACAACTCAGCAGAAGTGAGAAAGTATTATGCAGTTGAGGGTCATGCTAACTCAAAAGATCAAAAACTGTCATCTGTCAGAATAAGGGTCATATCCTGCCTGCCAGCAGCCAGTAGCAGACACTTAACAGAAGAGTATAAGACCAAGGCAGACACAAGGTGATGCTTCACATTCTCCAGCTTCCAACAGATACGTTGCCCACAGTAAGAACCCTGTGACAACTGACGGCCTACAGCCTGAGCCACTTACGATGGGTTCCCATGAAAACAGGATCCACCACAGCATGCAAGACAGCCAGTCCCCACTCCTCCATCTCTTTTTAGATCTCAAAGTTCCCTCAACATCCCAGTAAATGTAGCATCATGTGGTGTGGAGCTGATCCGATATGCATACCATGTCCCAACCCCTTCCTACATAGGCCATGACGTGAATCAGCAAATCCAGACAGAAGTCCCTGGAACATGTGAAATCTCCATAATCCAGCAGGACATATGCAAAGGTCAGTAAATGACTTCTTACAGGAAGAAGGCTCCTTCGTGGGAATGGGAAAGGGCACCTCTAAAACCTCCTCTCCTTGGGAATGAGGGCCAGCCTATATTTCTCACACTCATTCATGGTGAACTTCAGACTTACTATAAAGGAGCAGATCTGCACAAATGGCTGCTTGGCTGCTGACAAATCCTTGTGTCCTCCCACCTCCACCACTGACCAAATGCACAAAGTTTCAGCATGAAGGTACTTGGCTGTCCTAAATGTTAAATATTTTGTTCCATTACTTGTTGGCAGAATAATCCTTCATGATTATACCTTCTCCCTTATCCTAGCCAGCATCACTGCAGCCTACTTTATTTTCCACACATAGGTCTTCACAGAATCACAGAACGTCAGGGGTTGGAAGGGACCTCAAAAGATCATTTAATCCAGCCCCGCTGCCAAAGCAGGACCCCCTACAGTAGGTCACACAGGAACACGTCCAGGCAGGTTTTGAATGTCTCCAGAGAAGGAGACTCCACAACCTCCCTGGGCAGCCTGTGCCAGGGCTATGTCACCCTCACAGTGAAAAAGTTTTTCCTAATATTTTTGTGGAACCTCCTATGTTCCAGCTTGTACCCATTGCCCCTTGTTCTGTCGTTGCATGTCACTGAAAAGTGCCTGGCTCCATCCTCCTGACGCTCTCCCTTGACATATTCATGAACATTTATGAGGTCAACCCTCAGCCTCCTCTCCTCCAAGCTAAAGAGACCCAGCTCCTTCAGCCTTTCCTCATAAGGGAGATGTTCCACTCCCTTCACCATCTTTGTGGCTCTGCGCTGGACTCTCTCAAGCAGTTAAAAAAAAGTTTCTTTTCTATTTACTTTCTTTTTATTTTTAGCTCCAGCTGCTTGTCCACTTCACAAAACAACCACATGATCTGTCATCAGAGCTGTCATTTTCTGTCAAGGACGAAGCCTCTGTGCAGAGGAAGAAAAGAGCTATGCCACAGGACCTGAGAAAAGCCCCTTGGCTGCAGTCACTGAGGCTGCTGCAGGATGCAACAAAACGCAACCATAAAATCAGATGAAATGAGACTAGCAGCCACCCTGAGAGGTCAGCTGCCTGGCCTTGGCTTAAGGCAGGAACAACTAAACCTTTAGCTATGCTCACACATTTGCTTAGCCTGCCCCTTAAGCTCTCCAGAGACATGACTTAAATTCCCCCCCCAGACCATCCGCACGAGTGTTTCACTGGCCTTACCGTTAGCTCTGGCTCTTCTCCTGTTTAACCCCAATCTCCTTAGCTGAATTTAAATCCATTACTTCTTGTCCTGTTTGCAGCAGTCTTTAACCGACATGAAATCATGACTACAACTCTTCTCGACCCACACTTTTCTAGACTTTTTCTGCCCTAACTTGCTCAGACTTTGTGGGCTGCATCTGTTTGACCACTAGTCCTTGTAGCTTCCTACTGGACTCGCCCCAGTTTCATCAAACCTTCCTTGAGATACAGTGCCCCAGGCTGCACACAGCACTACAGGCAAGATTTTGTTTCAGGAGAGTTGCTTCCTTGTCTCATAGGCTCATCTCATGTGAGTCCATACATCCTCAAGCACATCCTTTGGAGCTCTGTGCTGATGGTACCTGCCTACATAGCACTTGGCTCTTGCTGCTGATACAATCTTTCAAATTTACCTCTAAACTAAGGGCAAGCAGCAGCTCATTTCCTAATGCCACAGCAAATCTGCTCATCTCCCCCTTATCTGCTGCGGGATTATCCAGTTTCAGCATTAATTGTGTCATGTAGGCAAAGACAACAGAGCTGGCTCCATACACGCAATTCAACTCAATGACAAAGTTCATTAGCTCACAAAAGGCACCACACGGCTGCAGTTACACCTCTGGCACAACCTTCACAAGCCAGTTTAGGATAAACACCGCTTATTAGCTCAGATTCAACACTAGCCCTGTAGTATTTGAGCCAGCTCTGTGCCAATTCACTTTGGTGCCTCTGAAATTTTTTCTGGAGCTACCAGCTCCAGAAATCACCAAATCAACCACAGATCTGCTGGACAGTCCCTGTATTATTTCTGATCTACAGAAAATTAACTCAGGTAGCAAGCAATCAAATTATTGGGCAAGGGTCCACTATCCAAATTAACTGACCTACTCATTGCTATGGAAAACAGTAAACCAGTGCAGTGAATTCTGCCGCATCCATCAAAATGAAACACCAACATGAAGGAATTTCCAGAAGAGAATTTCACAGGGCAATACTATAATGCTACTTAAATTAATTTCATCCTCTCTACTACAAATGCGTGTGGATAAAACCAAACCATTGGATACAACATGTTTCTACCTACAGACACTAGTCCATTGGCTGAAATCACATCACTATACTCTCATCTCTGCTGCTATTCTTAATACAGGGTGTACGTGTCAGAAGCACGAGGAGGTGCGAGAAGGATCCCGGCATGCGTGGACAGCAAAGGGTGGAGAATGTAAGTGGCAATTTCCTAGATCTGTAGTGATTGAGTTGACAAGATCTGCAGTTAAGCAACCTTGACTCCAAGTTAATAGGGTTTCTGATTGGGTGGTAATTTCCGAGGGTTTTTAGGAGTTTGTATCAGTGCTGATAGTCATTTACATGAATAGTGATAATGCATTAGCCTTCTCACGTCTTCCCACTAAGCCTTTATGTCTCCTCTACCTTAACCTATCCTCCTTGATGCTTCCCTGCACAATTGCATTCAGCACTTTTTTTAAGAAAAGACTGATCTACAAATGTTTCCCCTGCCAAAACTGCTGAACACTTAGCCATTAAAATATTCTGCAAAATTGAAACAGCCCATAACAAGTGAAAGTGCCACTACCAAACACATTGCAGATGGAATCTTGGCTTTTCCTAGCTCAGCTACCAAGGCAGAATTTGCTACAGAGCTGCCGGGGGTTCCCAGCATCGCTGTGACATTAGTGGTGCAAGTGGTTGCAATAAAGAAAGGTACCCAAGGAGAAGGAAGGGCACGTGGTAAGTAAGGGCACCCGGGGCCTACCTCACTGGCTGAGATTGGAGACCGGTCAATGCCCCTGTTGACAGACTCCCAGGACCTGGCAGTCAGCATGCAGGCGAAGAGAGGGTACAAATCCCCTGCCCCGAGCCGTCGGCTGTACTTCTGCACCCTCTTCATATCAGCCTGGATGAGGGCCTGCCAAAGGCGGCAGTAGTCCATGCGGAATGACTCGCTCAGCTCCTGGGGAGAGAGACATGGCCCCAACAGTCAAGGGAGGACAGGGAACTGTGAGGGGGAAAAGCCTTGTGCCCCATCTCCTATTTCAGAGCCAGGAAATATCCTTGGAGCATTATGTGAATAACAGCAAAAGTGTATTCGTGTGACCTTAGGGGAGAAAGGCTGCATCTGGATGTGCTTTCAGCCTGATGCCCACAGGCAGCCTCATAAGGCCCTGGAAGCCCTCCACAGCTACGTACCTGGTAGAGCCCATGGTCTAGGAGGATAATGTGGGCCTTGCCAGATCCTGGGCATTTCTTCACTAGTACGTTGCCTGGGTGTGGGTCACAGTGCACAAACCCATTCACAAAGATCATTTCGCTGTAGAGCTTCCCCAGGTTGCGAGAGATCTGTGAGGAGACAAGAGATGGTCACACACTGGCACCCACAGCAGGGTGCCTGCCAGGAAGGGGAGGCAGCCCCTGCCTGCCAACACTGCGAGGAGTGAGGGTCTGGTACATGCTGATGCCTCCATGCAGAGCCCTTCCAGCTTCTCACACTGACAAATGCACAAAATAAGCATTGACGTTTGCTGCAGGGAAATTCAGGGTGTTCAGGGAAGGATCCCCTTGGGGGTACCATGAAGGTGCTTGCATGGTCAGGGTTGTTTAAGAACACTTGCCTGGCACAGAAAAGAGGAAAATACCCATGGGTAAGAATGGGTAGGAATGGTAGTGGAGTCCCTCAGGGGACCAATACTATACAATATATTCATCAATAACCTGGATGAGGGAACAGAGTGCGCTGTCAGCAAGTTTGCTGGTGACTCAAAACTGGGAGGAGTGGCTGACACACCAGAAGGCTGTGCTGCCATCCAGAGAGACTTAGACAGGCTGGAGAGTTGGGCAGGGAGAAATTTTATGAAATACAACAAGAGTTTTGCATCTGGGAAAGAACAACCCCATGTGCCAGTATAGTGACCTGCTGGAGAGCAGCATAGGGGAAAGGGACCTGGGGGCAGGAAGACCACGAGCCAGCAATGTGCCCTTGCAGCCAAGAAGGCCAATGGCATCCTGGGGTGTTTTAGAAGGGGTGTGGCTAATAAGTCGAGAGAGGTCCTCCTCCTCTACTCTGCCCTGCTGAGGCCACGTCTGGAATATTGTGTCCAGTTCTGGGCCCCTCAGCTCAAGAGGGACAGGGAACTGCTGGAGAGAGTCCAGCACAGAGCCACAGAGATGCTGAAGGGAGTGGAACATCTCCCTTATGAGGAAAGGCTGAAGGAGCTGGGTCTCTTTAGCTTGGAGGAGACTGAGGGGTGACCTCATAAATGTTTATAAATATGTAAAGAGTGACTGTCAGGAGGACGGCGTCAGGCTCTTCTCAGTGATGTCCAGTGACAGGACAAGGGGCAACAGGGGCAAGCTGAAGCATAGGAGGGTCCACAAAAACATTAGGAAGAAATTTTTTCACTGTGAGGGTGACAGAGCCCTGGCACAGGCTGCCCAGGGAGGTTGTGGAGTCTCCTCTGGAGACATCCAAAACTGCCTGGACGTTTTCCTGTGTGACCTACTGTAGGTGGTCCTGCTTTGGCAGTGGGGTCTCTTCCAACCCCTGACATTCTGTGATTCTGTGGTTTCTGGCAATGAGGAGGAAAGTGAGATAGCAGATAAGGGCAGACAGGCGTTCACAGGGAAGGCATGGAAAGAGCTGCTGGCGTGGGTGAGAGATCGCTTGGAGGCAGACTCAGGTACTTCTATCCATGGATGGTAGCAGGATTGACCCAGTGAAGAAGGGGTGGGGGTAGACTCAGCCTCTCCATCTGCTTACCACATAGAATATGGGTTCCCTCTCCCCTCTCTCCATCACACTGCCCCCTACGTTCCCCATTCCTTTCCTCGGACTCATGCTAATCTGATTTGTGATGCCTGTGAACATGAAGCAGCATAGAAAGGCTGTTTAAATCATCTTGTCACTGCTGCGTCCCTTCATGCCACTGCTCTTTATCACCAAGAGATGTTATTAAAGTTTAAAACCTTCTAGGAGCAAGCAAACATCCCCAGGGCCTGGGATCAATCCCTCGCCATGCACTAACACAGCAGCCTTGCCCTGACATCCCACTGCCAGCCCTCCCGGCCATCAAAGAGCAGCACGGTGCTCCACAGCAGAGTGCTGAACAAGCAATTAAAAGACAATCATTATAAATGATTCCAAGCATGTTCCCAGACACACAGTGTAAGCAGCGAACAGGCAGCTGTCCCCATAAGCAAAGGTGGCAGAAGAGGTAGCGGGGGTATTAGCAGCAGCAGAAACTCAGAGGGTCAGGGAAGGGCTTGCTTCACCCACTTCTGAAATGTGTCTACCTCTGAGGAGAGTGTTCATGATGAATAGTGCCCATGTAACTACAAATGAGGAGAAAGAACTGGAACCCTTCCTGAAGCACACCAACAGGGACAGCTACAGGACCAGGTGGGACAAGCCGCTGTCTCTCAAGTGGGACCTGGAGCCACTGCTGAGTCATGGAGAACACTGCCCCACGGCAATCACCCACACAGGTGGCACAGCACAGCCCGGTGGTCCTCTGTAGTGCAGCTCCTCTAATGCCACCCAGGGGTTACTGCAAGTACTGGCAGGGGAATGACGTTCCCTCCTGAATCACCAGGGATCACCTGGATCAGCAAGTTCTGAAACTGGATAGAACCAAAGTACTAGGTGCAGTGACCTCTTAGAAGAGCCAGGTAGCACCCCCTGAGTCAAAGATGTACCAGATAGTCTGTTTTAAGCCAGTCACTCATTCACACACCCTCCCAGGGACCTGCACACCAGGAGGAACAGACTTGGACATCATGACTGATCATAGCATCAACCACAACACCTGTGCACGCACTGAGTGAACTGCGTTTTGTCCTCACTGCCTTGGCTGTTAGCCCTGCAGGGACCTGGAAGAGCATAGATTTATTGCAGATGAGGACTTGGGGACAATCTAGGGCACAACATAATGCCTCATGCCCATCAAACACAAGTTCAGACAAAGGCTGGCAGTTCTGCAAACCTGTTGGCTGATCACGGCTAAAACCTGGAAAGCTATTAATCTGGGGTACTGGAGTATGGGCTGCTTCAAAGAGAGCAGATTCTCCTTCTGTGCTGTGGTAATAGGCTGGGCAAGTCAAGCAGTGGAACAAGTTGCCCAGAGAGGTTGTGCAGTCTTCATCGTTTGTGGGTTTTAAGACCTGACTGGATAACCTCTGATTAAACTGGTCTGACCTCACAGCTGACTCTGCCTTAGCAGGAGGTTTGATAGGAGACCTCACGAGGTCACCTCCAATCTCAAATACCCTAGGATCCTACAGAAATACCTCTCATCAAGTTATCCAGGCCATCCTCGTAACAGCATCTTAGGGTATGGCTGTAGGCTCCCGGTGCAGGGAAGGACTGCCCTCCTGAGTCACAGCCAGCAGACAGGTGACTGACCAGATCTGCAGTCGTAGCCTTTTGCAGCCCAGGATGTAACACAAAAAAAGCTCAGGATTCATCTTCCCGTCTTACCATGAAAACAGAGCAGGCACAGCTCTATTCAGACCCACAGTCTGGGTCATGGGTACAAGACAATCTTCACTGCAAAATTCCCATCCTCTATCCCTTCCCTGCTGTACTTATATTTACCTCTTCCTCAGCATGCAACCTTGAATATCTGCAGCAGTTAATTCAGTGAAATTAGACTTTATGGCTTCTTTAAGAAAGAAGAATACATTCTGTATAATTTAGTTAGCATACAGAGATATGTTGCAGGGGTTTACAAGTCTTTACTTTTGGAAAATAAATTACTCAGTGTAAGAGATGGAGCTGTGCTGAAGACCTAAAAGTATTTTCACATATTTTCGTCCGTTGACATACCCCTAAAATAGGATAAAAATTGAATTAAGATAGAAAGCACCAACATTACTGATTTTTTTTTAAAAAAGGAAGGTTATATTTCTAGGGCTTAGAGTGTAATACGTGAATAGCGATCTATCTTATAATTCGAACAAAAGGAGTTCAAGTTTCTAGAGAAAAAGTTTAGGGAAAAAACATGAAACTTCTATACACATTAGTTCTCCAGTACTGTGCCCTATCACTATAGGCCTTTATTCCACCCTTATTGAGAAGGCCACTGGATAAATAGCACATAGAGTTCACTTTGAAAGAATGCAGTTAAATGAAAAAACAAACATGTGAAAATTTCTACTCAGAAGGGAGGAATTCAGCATGCATTTAGGCTGTGCAAGACCTTGGGGTGAAGGTGCATCTCAAATTAGACAAAAGGTTGCAGTAATTTACAGAAGCAAATACAAAGTAAACACACAGGCATTTTGTTGTGACAGAGGGAGGTCATCACTCCCTTCCCTGTTTATCATCCAACACAATGAGGTCCTTGTCATTACCAGGGCCCCCAGCACTGTTCTGCTGCCCATTGTAAAAAAATAATAATCACTCTTGGAATCCTACATCCACTTCTAGACACCTCATTAACAGAGATACAGACTACACAGAATGAGTTCAGAAGAAGCAAATAAATAAGCAGGATGCATGAGAAATTTACTGGGGAAAAAAAGATTAGAAGAGCTGAAGATTCTGAAGTTAAGGAATGGCAGAGAAGGGGCAGTCTACTGATGATAGAAGGTTTGAATAGCAAGGAAGCAGGAGCACTAGATGTGCTACAAGAAATATGACTAGGCAGAAGGGGCAGTAATCAAGAATGGCGTAATTTAGACATAACACATAAGAAAAAAATCACATGCTAGTCATGAAATGGACCTGAGCTTGATAGTCAGGATGGCACCAAGCACTGGCCCTGGTCAGAGGCACATCCTCGCCTGTTGCCAGAAGGTGCGTTATTGTCTAAAAGAAGTTCAATTTATCTGTCTGTGCTGTAGCAGAACATGATTACTACAGTCACCAAGTGAGCCTGTGGCCTCACCAGTCAATGCAAATAGCAACCTGCCATTGCCACATTATGTGACATGACCATGACACTGTGTCAGGCAAACCACACATTTTAAGCCCAGTGGTTTGATTTTGAAAGAACTGTAGCTGAGGAATAAGCAGACTGCAAAAGATGAAATGGAAAGTCAGCAGCCTGGACAAAAAAAAATGGCGTGATAGATATATGTATAACAGCCAGACTCGGAGTAACTCTTCACCAAACTAAGAGCACAAAGTTCATTTTATGTACTCAATATGGCAAGGATGTTACATGTCACAAATCATTCTGCAGCATCTACAAGCCAATACAGAAGAAAATAAGAATGAAGTGCAGACATTAAGGATTGCTATCGTACATATCACATAGTCTCTCTATAAACTGGTTAAGTTCACTGAAAATAAGTAAGACAGAAACCATGACTTTGAAGGCTGTTCCAAAAATTTACTCTTA